GACGACAGTTATTGTATACGGCCCATCTTCGATGGCACCTGTCAAAGATTCGCTTCATTAGTGGCCCGTTAGCTCTCGTCTTATTTTCTAACCGATTTCGAGGCGCTCGTCGGTCCCACTTAGCCGGCTGTTATATAGTTTCTCAGTATTGCGTGCAGTTACCGAGAAGGATTCCAGGGAATTATGCCTGTGGACCAGCCGGCCAGGCCTCTAAATTAAATCTCGATTCGGATAGGCGAGAATTCTATTCCCAGAGTCTCGCGGGCAGAGACATTCGTTCCACGTGGCGGCGGAATGGCGAAATTAAATCTCGGAATTTATTGGACTAGCCGCGCGAGCTCGTACGGCGAATATTTCTTATTATATTCGTCGTGGTATCGTCGTATTCAGGAGTGAGGGAGTTGATGACGTGGCTATCTGTCTGTCGAGAGTGATTTCCTGATCACGCGTCCTTGGTGTTTGAAACGTTTTCGAATCGAAAAATCGGTATCGAAACAGAGAAATTCTTTGCGCGATATCTGGGAAAATCGTGGCGATTCTTCTGGAACTGAAAGTGCTTAAGAACCAGTCGCATTTTCTACGTACGATGACCCTACGTGTCGATAACCTAGCACGATCCAGGTATTTTATTAATCCACGTCCAAGTCCCGTCATTTAGGCTAAATATACGTAATATATTTACGCGGCTACTCATCCGCGATGCGTTGTGAAAACGCGAATTTCACGAGGCCCACGCAGCCGAGCATCATACCGCGACGAATCGCGACTGTAGTAAAAAGCTGCACGGACATTCCTCCGTTTCGTTCCCCTCCCCGTGGACGTTGGAACCGACGCCAACGTAAAGGGTTACTTTTGCCGCATCAGCTTCGAAGAAACGATCGGCCAGGTCGTAGAAGAAACCGTCAGCGAGTCTGAGAATTCATCAGCGAATGCTCGCACCCTTTTCTCGACTCTCGTGTGTGCAAAGGAAACAAAAAAGAAAAAGAAAAAAGAAGATTCAAGAGAGGAATAGAGAAAGAGAGATAGAGGCCTTGGTTTCGCGAAGGAATGCAAATCGGGGACTGGTCACGAGTATTCTAATGCGCGATCGCTTCGGCTCTTCGCTTCGGCCGGCGAGGATCCTGAAACGAACGTCATACGTCCCTTTCGTATCAGCGACGCTATAAAGATACTGGCTGGCTCCTATCGTTTGCCTGCGTGTATTCCTCTCGAAACGCCGTGCGCGAAACGACGTACCGAGATAAGCGTTTCGAGATAATCGAGCGGCAGCTGCGGCAAGGTGCGTGCACCAGGTGGTAATTTGCACGTTTAAATGACGATGCATCGCGACAAATTTAACATTCGCCGCTGACACGTCGACTTCTCTCTATGCTACTACATTCTTATCATTTTCGTTCACAAATCTCTCTTCATCTCGTTACACGAGTGTTCATCGCCGACTCTTTCCTCCGGGGGTAAACGACCGAAGGAGAAGTTTCGTCGCTCGATCGTCGGCCGATTTGTAGAAAAATCGCGTATGCGATTTGAAATTGCGTTCGAGCTTCAGTTTCACGGCTACGCTGTGTTTCAACGACGCAGGAAATAGATTTCTCGCGAGGGATAGAAGGAGTTCGGAACGCGCGGTTACACGATCGAACCCCGGGATAACCTCGGGAAGAAAATACCGCGGGGCGAGAAGCGATGGAACAAAGATAGAGGGGATGGCCGGGCAGCACAGGCTGGTGGTGGTAAAGTTCACGGAAGAAACGCGTGATACGTGGAAGACGACCTGGCGAAGAAATGACCGTTCCCAAGGTGCCCAAGGATTTCGCTTTACGATTGCAAGAACGATTCGCCAATTTTTCTTTTCCTTTCCCCCGCGTTCGTCTCGCTTCTCTCTCAACTCTCGGGCCACTCGAGTGTGATCGTCCTGGCTGTATTTTACGATAAACGAGATCGTTCGCAGATCGTTCACCGATAGACTAGGCAAAAATTATTCGCAACGGGAATCGTTCTGTTAAAAATTATTTCCTCCTGTGTTCGACGAAGAAAAAGAGAAATGAGAACCCGTAGAACTGGATACTTTTTTAACCACCTGCGAATCTCTCGATTCGCGCGCACTTGGACGTTGCGCCGTTGGTAGCGCGATATGCAATCGGTTTCGCTCGGTCGAGAGTGAAACCAAAGAGAACACGTACAACCACTCTCGATGTAATCCCCGAGACCCCGCAGCTGCACGGTGCCGCATCGGCAATGCGATTCAGTAACATCATTGCCGATATCGGTTCGCCGATTTCTCGTGAGATTCGAGGGAGGAACGCGCGAGTGTGTTTCGAGACTTTTGAGCGCGAAGAGCAAAGACTCAGCGAGATCGAACGGAAACACGACAATTGAGTCGAAACGACGTTGATTTACGATCGATCAAACGATGACGATAAATGGCGCGATCGGTGCTCGTTAATCGTAATCCAACGAGCCGTTGGTGATCCGTCCCGGGATTTTTGCGAAACCGGGTGTACGGAGTGGACGGCGGTGCCTTTGAAAAGTCTCGCGCGCGTAGCCGGTCCGAGACGAGCGGCCGGTTAAGTGTAATTTGTACAGGATCTCTGAGAAGACGAGAGAAGTTCGCGGTCAAGGCTCTTTCGTTCAAGTCATTGACATCGGCCGCTAGCACGAGCAAACTGACGTTGCCCATTACATCGGGCCGGCTAATAAAACCGCGACGAAGTTTTGTTGTACAATTGCTTCATTGTCGCTCGCGTGTTGCGCCATTCCGTTCTGTTCGTTTCGTCCCTGTCGTCGAATTGTTCATGCATAGGTACTTAATTCGCTCATTGTTCCCTCGGACGGAGTAAAGACGCGATTGCAGAAGGAAGTCACTGTTTACGATTACGAGAAATTAAATCTGGAACCGGTGCACGGTCGATTTACCATCGACAAAGAAACGACGTGTTTATAATGATTAGAGAGCGATTAAAGAGCCAGAAGAAAGAAGTCTACCTGGGATAATGGCCGCGCTTCTTCTTCTTCTTCTTCTTCTTCTTCCTCCGCTAATTCGAATTCCTCGAAATAGGATCGAGTATAACGGAATCAAGGAGATCGAGAACCATTAGAGTTCCGTGGTTTTTTTAACGTCGGACGAGCCGACGCTGTTCGCCTGGCGATGATTTCATTTTAACACGCGTCGGTTCTTTCTTTCTTTTTTTCTTTTCGTCCGACGTGCCTCTTTTTCTCTCCGCTCTTTCGTCCCCGCACGCCGGACGAAATCTATTATCCCCGATGACTGTTGTTTTTCTACGATTTCTGCGAATGTCCGCCGGTGTGAATGTCCTGAACGTTGTCTCGCGGCGACGACGAGGACAACAGGGGCTGAGGACGAGCGCGACGGAACAACATTTCTTCGCGTAACACATCATCCGCAGGTGCATCGTCATCGTTTGCCCATTATTCTTATTATTCCTCGCCATCTGCCTCGACGCAGAGATATCGATCGTTACGTTGCTATCTTGGGCCTCCTTGTCACGTGCACTCTGTACAGCGCCTTAAAGACCGGAAGCGATTACGAGGCGTCAAATTGCTAATGTTCGTGTTACGTGGCCCGGCGTGTCTGCCTGATCGGAAGAACGATCGAAGATTCTTGTCCACGGGTTACGCGTGTAGCGATTGTTAAATCCCACGGTGAGCGACTTTTTGTAACCACGACCGGTACCCGACGATTATTATTCCTATCCCAGCCAGTCAATGCTCCCCTCGATGATGATGGTGTTACGCTTCTTACGGAGGCGTTCAGGTTCTTGGAAGGAACGGTTGGTTAACCGCGCGAACGTGAAACAAATAATTGGCAAACGTTAGAAGAACCTTACACTTCCAGTACTATTCGAACTGGTTTCGCGTCGATGAATTTCAGCAAATCATTATTCAAACAAGTTAAATGTTTGAGTTTCTAATGAGTTGAAGTCTTAGACGAGGAAGATTGGAGCATGTCTCGATATATTGGATCTCTCGACCCGAAGTGTATTTGATATTACCGGGTATCCGGCATCGTGTATATCTTGAAAGAATCTCAGGATAATAGGTAAAAGCGAAATGGCGGCCTCGTAGTTGTGTAAAGTCCACGGGTCCACGGTGCGATGGTCCCCACTATTAGCTATGCGCGACGCGGAGGCGTCACTTCCTCCGGTCCGACTTCCGGCCGCCGGAAACGTCCCTCTAACCACGATTGAATCCTTAAATGAAGACGCTCTCTCTGACGAGAGAGCCCTTCTCCTTCTCGGCTCGGCCGACGTGCGCCACCGACGTGCAAACTGCTAAGAAATTCTGAAATCGTGCTTCTCAGAACGTTCATTCAGCGATAAAAATACACCATAATTAATTTCACGTTAATCAACTGTTTGTTCATCGGTGCCTGTTTGTTAGCATAAGCAATGCTAATGATAATGATAATAATAATATCTAAAACACTTACTAGAACTCTACGAGAGTCTGTATTTATTTAACAATATTTATTTGACAAAGTTTTATTATTAACAATATTTATTTGATAAAGTTTTATTATTAATTTAACAATATTTATTTGACAAAGTTTCATTATTTATTTAACAATATTTATTTGACAAAGTTTCATTATTTATTTAACAATATTTATTTGACAAAGTTTCATTATTTATTTAACAATATTTATTTGACAAAGTTTCATTATTTATTTAACAATATTTATTTGACAAAGTTTCATTATTTATTTAACAATATTTATTTGACAAAGTTTCATTATTTATTTAACAATATTTATTTGATAAAGTTTTATTATTAATTTAACAATATTTATTTGACAAAGTTTCATTATTAATTTAACAATATTTATTTGACAAAGTTTCATTATTTATTTAACAATATTTATTTCACAAAGTTTCATTATTTATTTAACAATATTTATTTGACAAAGTTTCATTATTAATTTAACAATATTTATTTAACAAAGTTCTATGTGAGGGAGGCGCGTCAAATGGTTTATTGCGTTACAGCAATCGATACGGATTGACGAACGAAGACCTGAACAGACGATGGAGTAACCCGAATCAGGTACTCCATCCGGTGATTTATCACACGAAGGGCCTGATGGAGTATTGCACGAGGGTGCTGCAGAGACCTCCCTACGTTTTCGTCGACTATCATGGCCATTCACGGAGGAAGAACGTGTTTCTGTTCGGTTGCTCAAGGTCGGGTTCTTGGAGCGCCGCGGACAGGGCGAAACCGGACCAGCCGGCGCAGTATTTGGTAAGGGGACGAAAGAGGAACGAAGACTGGGGTATTATTTTTAGACACTGTGCCGGGGTTACACTGCACCGGGCAACGAGAACCTACGAACGGCTAATCTAGCGCGATCTATCGAAGTCAATTTACGAGCGGAGCGGTTCTGACGCGAGAGAGAGAGAGAGAGAGAGAGAGAGTGAGAGAGGAAGAGGGAGAGAGGGGAAAACGAGTTTCGCCCGATGTAATTTACGGCGGACAAGGATCGGGTACATCGATTCCGTGTGCTCCAATTTTACACGCTCTCCGCGAGAATACGGGCACTCGAACTATAATAGTTCGTATGAGCGTTATCGTTTTTTTTTTATTCTCGTTTCGTCGATCTCGTTCGACTTCTACGGCTAGTCTTCCATTAAAATTTTCTACCGATTTCGGTTACAATTTACCGCGACCGCGCGGCCCAGTTGATTTTTAATCGGGACGCGCGAAATTACAAAGAACTGGATAACCGAGCGGCTGTCGGCGGGTAATTCTGAGGATTCCACGCGAGATACGCGTTTCAGATGTTGCCGCACCTCATGCAAAGAATATCTCCGGCGTTCGCGTTGCCACTGTGCTCGTTCAAGGTCGAGAGGAACAAGGAGTCCACGGCTAGGGTAGCCATATGGCGGCAGTTAGGTGTCTCGAGGTACACGTCCACATAGTTGCCGATCTACCTTCGCGCGTAATATCCATTTGATCTTTGTCAACTCTTCACTGACGCACGATTTCTTTCATTTGAAAACCGTAGAAGTTACACCATGGAGAGCAGTTTCTGCGGATGTGACCAAGGAACGTTGGCTGGCTTGCATCTGGACACGAAACACCTGAAAGCGATCGGTCAAGATTTTTGCCAGGCTCTGTCGATGATGAAGGACTGCGGCGAAGATTGGAGCGTGGAGAAGTAAGTTGAAGTCGAATGATGGCAGGAAATTTGCAGAGGACTGGTAGATAGGATAAGAATAATGCGAGAGATTTTATGAACGCAGGACATTGATGGAAGACTGTTGCCCGCGAAAATGCATTTTGCGGGCGTCGAAGAAGGTTCCGCCTAAATGTATTCAGGATAAATCGGCGGTGCATCATATCGCTGCGATCCCATAACGAACGATTAAGTAGACGATTCAAGGCAAGATTTTCCACGCGATCGTATGATTAATGTCGATTGATCGTTGTTTTGAAATGTCTGTTCACCATGTTACTAATATCTCTGCTTAACGAATTAAATCTTGCCCGATCGATTTACTAACATTAACTAACGCGCCAATGCGTAAATGCAGTAAAATGTTTAAGCAAATGTTAATATATTTATTTACTTTTATTCTTTTAGAATCCCCATGGGAGAGGGTATTCCGGAGGAATCAGGATGCATGGAGGATGACATTTCGTCCAGTTGCGAGTCGGATGAGTCCGATTTTGAAACTTAAAAATAATTTCGAATCTCGTAGAATCGATCAAGGTGAATATCGGCGTTCCTTCGTACATCGAACGTCAATGATCGTCAAAGATTCTTTTGGTTGCCGAACGGAAGGAAGTAAGAACACCGAAGAGGGAAGAGTTCTGTACACTTTGAGGAATTTTTATTTAAAACTCGTAACAAATATCAAGCTATCTCTACGGAGATCCTACGTGGAAACTGAAGCCCAGTTTCATTGAAATACAATTTCGAATACGAACGTTTGCCGCCGTTTGTGAATTGAAACTTCTATTAAATTTGAGCACCTTAGACATCACCGATGACGGAGCGTATGCCCGCTTGAATCAGAATTTGAGAACTTCGTTCGCCGGAAGAGAAAAAGAAAGGGAAAGAAAAGACGATCGTAAAAATCGCCAGAAATCAAATCGAAATTTGAAAGAATCAACGTTACGAACAACCAATATGGTAGAAGACTCGAAAACGGAAAGCGATATTTTATAGAAGAAGCGACTCGAAGCGATTTTAAAGATTAAAAATCATCAATGCGAATTGTCCTATTTCTTACCAAAGAAAAAAGAAATCTACGAAACGGATTTAGTTACGAAATCAAGCGAGCGTCGAAGAAACAAAGTTCTCCTTTTACGCTACACCTCGCTGTTTACATTCATTGTATGTGATATTTTCTCGATTTGTGATCATATAAAATAAAGCTTACTTGTAACACGGCAAAGGTCTCGCTAAGAAAAGATTTTCACCCAAAACTCAAGTGTTGTGTAAAAATTTCCTCTCATTCTCACTCGCATTTTATGCTAATCCTTAGTTAAATTGAGTCACTCTTCTACGAGGTCGTTAATCAGCACGAGTTTTTCGCACGAAGTTTAACAAATTCAGGCTTCTAGAGATCGTATTGCTCAATCTTTAATACAAGCTGCTTATAAACGATGCGTTACACAGTGTGATGCCGGTGCTTTGAGAACATACTACAATTCAGAAGTAACAAATCTCACGGAAAGCAGAGAATTAAAAAGAGGGTGGCACAGATTTTTTTTTTCTACGGTGTTTTGTGCGAAATCGAAGCTCGATCGATGGGACGTGCGTACAACGAATCGAATCGAGTAGGATCGAAACGAATAGTAATAAGTAAAGTTTGAATGAAACCGAGGAAGGTGAAATCAAGAGGAAAAGCTGTGAATCGTTTTTGCAGTGTAAAACAGACAGATAAAAAGAGAACAGAAATTCGTCAGATCATAACGAATAATTGAGATAGAGATAGAGAGAGAGCTTCTTCTTCTCTATCCAGTTTTTTTTTAATTCTAGAAATGTGTAAAATTCAAGTGCACGATAAAAACGCTCAGTCGATCTATCTTAACGTTAATTTTCTTCTCGTGATAAAAAGATCGTTTAGGCTGAAGTTTACCACATCGAATGCACAACCATTACAATTCACGTTAATCGGGCATCCAGGCTCTAAGTTCTAAAACATCTCACCTCTTCGAAACAACTTTTTATTTTTACAAAAACAGTATTACTCGTAACGAAGCCTTGCTATGAATATTTCACACGCAAAAAACTTTACGAAGCTTGTTGTATTCACCATGACACGTAGACTCAATAAAGTATACACGTATATGCATATATATATAATACGTTCGTCTTGAAATGAGTAAATACGTTTCGTCGGTTGAAAATACTCTGCAGCTTCATTTATGCAATGTAAAGGCAGTAAAGTTTCTCGTTACGTAGTTCAAAAAGAAGTATCAATCAATCGAGAATTCCATTAAGCAATTTTTTTTCCCTTATAACAAACTAATTTAATCGATACCGATTAACGTTCAAATGTGGTAACAACAACTAATACTGTATGGTATTCGAGCTACAGATACGGATTTCACAGAGGTTACTTAAATGTGAAAATGAGAATTGAAAATGATAGAGAATAGGAGAAAAATAAGATAAAAAAAAATAGAGTAAATGGATGACACAGTCGGAATCAATAGGAATTGCTTTTTAATGTGAAATTTACATCAATAGATGATAACATAGCCTTTAAAACAGACTACGAGTTGTCGATCGAAGTTCGATAAAAATTGTGCCCTGTATAATATTAATTGACCCGAAATGAGATTCGAAATACGTCCGTACTTTTTCTTTTTTTTTTTTCATTAACAATTGCGACAAATCATTCCGCGTAACGTAAATATTAGAAGAAAGAACATTACAATTATACAGATAGATATAGCGAAGGATCTTTGTTTAGCCCATGGCTAGAATGCCTCGAAGAATTAATCAGAGCGTAGAAAGGGAAATCAGTCGAATAATCGTTGTGTGTATCCATGTGTGTATATGTATATGTGTGCGTGTGTGTTAATTTTTGTCAACAGATATTGCAAACACGTTGAAAGAAAATTTTTGAAATGTTATTGTCTGTATGGCGTACCGTAATGCGCGCGATTTTATACTAGATTAGTATTCATTAGGGAGAGAGGGGAAATTTTTTTCTCTCTATTGTCCAACTAATGTCTCTAAAGCTTACGTAGTCAAAAATGTTTCATTATGGGATTATTGAGAATTTTCTAAGATCTCCTTGATCGTACGTGCACTCCGTTGAAAGATGAGAAAGACTTATTGAAAAACGAGTATTTTTTTCTTTTTCGAAATGGACTATATTAAAACAGGCCAATTACGTAGTCACATATAGTATTCGGCTTGTTTCATAATGTAATTTTGGACGGACAGGTTTCCTCCGTCTTGTCAAATCATTTTAATTTGATCGACTCCCAATCATGAGTGCACGCGCGGTCGAAATATCTACGAAAACAAAAAATTGAAAATACAACGATAGATGGGAGAATTGGGCTGCCATCGTTTGCAAACTAAGCAAGTAAGATCAACGAAATTATGCTTAAACACTCTTATACTTAAGGTCCTTTATTAAGGAGAAAGAAAGTCTAATATCTATCCTCGTGCGAACAATTACACACATCCTATGAAGCAGCGTAACGTTAACAACTTTTCTATCATATGCCATACACACCCTCTACGTACGAATAGGTAAAAATCTTTGCGAGTAATTATTACATACGAATACGTATCAGGTAGAAAAGCCAGCGATAGATACCGTTACCTACAGACAGGATCCTGAAACTGTCGTCAAGTTTGAAATCCGCACAATAACTTTGACAATCAATGGAAAGTAAATAAGTGTACAATTAATCAATACAACATGCACTATCTAAGTACTCAAGGGAAAAACTATGTATGTAAATGTATGTGTATATACGCGTCAAAATTTTGCGGAGGAACAACGACTGCAAACGACAGCAGGCAAGAGGCTCTCTATTCGATAAACGACCAAATCTAACCGACAATACATTCGACAATACATTCTCCCATCTTCTAAGCTACACGATCGAAATACAGATTATGAAGCTGCAGTTTAATTAAAACACGGCTCGTGTGTGCACATCTTGTGAATCGACGAGTACTGCAGTCGATCGAGAACGATGCGGAACGCGACAGGGATGGATGTTTTACTGGTCGCCGTTCATCTTCTTCGCGTAGACCTTGAACTGTTCGTAGGTGATCCACATAACGATGTTCCAGGATACCAGACGCGTGAAGCTGGGCACGAAGCCTTTGTAGAACGCGGACGGCCCTTCCTTCATCATCATACGAACGGCGCAATCCTTCACGCCTTTGTACTCGCCGGGAGCGCTGTTCATGTAACGAGTCTTCACCACATCTACAGGACTAGCAGCCAGGGTGGTACACAGTCCTGCCGCCACAGCGGCCGTTATATGGCAAGGGATCCCATCGCGCAGGTAGTCGCGCTCCAAAATGAAATCCTTGATGATGTCATAGCAGACGATCTCCGCCACGTTTACGATCGCGTTTCTCGAGATGTTGGGCATGGTTCCTGAATACAAGAACGTCGTTAAATCTAAAAACCCCATTCGAATCTTAATACTCTCGTAGCGATATTACACTACAGGCTACGAGATCGTTGGGTTATATCAAAGGATTATCGTTTGATAATCCTCTCTTGATTCCAAACGAATTTCGTTTCGATTACGTTTGGTTGGTACAAAGTACTTGTTTTACTGAATACGAATTAGAGGCTCAGACAGAGATTTGGCGAGTAATGTAAGATCACTGGCAACGATTCAATTCTTTGGCTTTTAGTAGCTGTATGCAAAATATAAAAATATTATTATAGATATACTGCAATCAGCCAACTATAATACTTGTATATATTGTATATAGATTATTGTCGTATAATATGAAAGAACACTCGGCACTCTCATAGCTCTTCATAACTGTCGCATAATTCGTGCTTCTAGAGAACTGAAGATCAATTTCGTTAGGACGAGAACAAATTTATGCCACGATATAACTGACGAATTCAACTGACTGAGAGAATGAAGCAGCTAAAACAAACGCGATGTCAGACAGAGTCAGCAAACTGATCAGCTCGCTGTCCATACTGATTAAATCTGCTAGTCAGCTGAATAGGAGCTGATCCCGCTTACTGCTACAATCTGTCTTTGCACTGGGAATCATAATTCATGCCACGAGTGTCATACAATATTACAAGCTACAAAGCGACCTAAAGGGTTGGAGGAGATTTATAAACACTGAATTGTCATTCTGCAGGAGCTCAGCAGTTTGCAATCGTTCGAAGCGAGGGAGTATCGTATTTCTTCGCGTGTATGTAAATGCCAGAGGAGTTGTAGTATAGTGATTGCGTGATACCTTTCCAAAGGCCCCGCGTCCCTTCTTCAGCAGCGATATTCTTGTACGCTTGTAGGGTGGAGCTGTATCTCACCGACGATCGTCCAATACTTCCAGCCTGTAGGCGAACCTTGACGACATCAGTCGGCTGAGCGAAAAGCACCGCCAGGGCGCCTGTCGTGATTCCAGCGGCTATTCGCACAGAAATGCTCTTCGATCCGCTCCTGTTATTACCTGCCAAGACAAAAGAATACGGTGAAAAGGCGGCCCGGGTTCGGTGTCGGTGTCTGAATTGCTTCGAAATAACATTATTTACGTCTCTGTGTCACGGTTTTTAGATCGAAAAAAAGTAGGATGCAGGGTGGGGGACAGATCGCGCTCTGCGCGGTACAGCACGTTTTATTAGCTCACTGATTATATCCACGTTACAGATAAGAACGACTGTTCTAAGTGATCATTTTTCAAACGTCACGAGGGTATCACGAATTCGTTTGTTAACGAGAGTTAACAATATGTTTACGACAAGAATTGGGTCAATTAATTGATGCGAGATGTTCGATGGCAGATGTACTCGAGATCAACTTTGAAGGAAATCTGAGGAAAATTGTAGCTTAAGTTCGTTTGTTAAATAGAACAAGATTATACAACATATTGCTGTTGTTGATCGCGCGTACTTTTGTGCCGTCGGTTTACACGATTCTAGCAATCTCTTTCTTGATGCGAAAAAAGTGATCCGTTCAGAGTGATCACGTCGGCAAGTTACGCAAGGAAACGTTTACAACATGCGACAATGAGGAATGAAGACGAAATTCGAAAACTCGCGTCACTTCTGATTAAAATGTCTTATCGTTTACGAAAGATTAGTGCCACAAACGACCGATAGAAACAGTAGCCACGATTAAAATTCCACGAGTATTAACGCACACACGCATGAAAAATATTCAAAACATACATGTTACTTCTTTTATTTAGATAAATATATATTCGTTTACACGCAATAGATTCAAAGAAGAGCTCAAAAAATACACTCGGAAATCGTGTAATAATAACGAGATCAAACTGTGCATTTTTCTTAGATATTTCTTTCCAAATCCTCGGTCTTGAGAAACAAAAAAAAAAAAAAAAAAAAGATATATATATATGAAAGAAAATATACCGTTCGATAACTCTAAAGCATTCTCGATACAATAATCGATCGTTTTCGAGCATGCGTTAGTTACAATTATTTCAATTTACGGGAGAAAAATATGATATATATGCGTGACGATGATTTTTCTCGCCATTATTTATAATCTATTCTTCTTTCTTCCTTCTCTTGCAAGTAATTCCTTTTCGTTTATGACGACGATCGACGACGAAACGAGACTCAATTTTCCATCGAATGAAATATGAAAAAAAAAAAAAAATTAAAAAAAGGAGAATACGACGAGTAAAATGAAACAGCGCCACGTCCGGAACGCTCTACACGTTTTGATTCACGATCAGCGATCAAAGTCTCGATAAGTCAATGGGTAGTTTGCTAGAGTTTATTATCTTATATAGATATATTTATATTTATGTGTGTGTATATATTGTTTTATAATCTCTTAGAAAAAGCACGCGGTAGCCAATGGTGGCCGATTATCAACCAACCAACCAGCCATTACTTACGCGTGTGTTACTCATTCGTGTAACAGAGAGATGGAGCACGTGCGCGGCGTATGTTCGCACGCGCTCGCGCGTCTAGTCTGTTATATCGTAATAGGAGGATTACGTAATCAAAAAGTTAGGAGTTTGTTGGATGTACCGTCGATGATTCCAGCGTAGCGTGACTTCACCCCGTCGTAGAGGCCCAACCGTATGCTGGCGAAACACATCTGTCTCTGGAGTCCCGCGGACAGACCTCCGTACAGGCTCCTGTAACCACCCTCGCTCAAGCTCACCGCCCTCACAATTTACCCTCAAATGTAGCCCAGGGTAATATTTTTTATTTTTTTGATTTTTGGTTTGTTCGTACAAGTTTTTTTTTTTTTTTTTAAATATATTTATTTTTCTTTTCGATTTCTTTTTTTCCTCTCTTTCGCTCTCTCTTTCTCTAATTTGCTCCCCTTCGTTCAAATTGACTTCAAAATGAAGGTACTCCGGCAAGTACCTCGGCTCGTCTCTCTCTTTCTCTCTTCCTTGTTTCTTCTCAGTTGGCGAAAAGAACTTTGATTTTTGCATCGCGTTGCACACTAGAAATACCAGACTTTTTCCGTTTAGTACTTGAGAGAGGAATTATCATTTTGAATGGAACAATTCGTAGAGGAAATGACTAACCTTGAGCAAGAATTCGCGGAAACATGCTTTTTGAGTTTGTACTATAATTAAATGATAGTTTATGCTGATTCGTTCAATAGATAACCAGACTGGTCTTCCTAGTGTGTTAGAAAGACATGAAGGGAAGCCAATAGAGTCTCTCATCAAAAACATTTGAAGAGCACGAGAGAAAAGATCAGCTAAAAGAATCGGAAGAGAGCTTGCGCTGAGAGAGCTGGACACGGTTATGACAAATCGTATTCGCGGTGGAAGCGCAACCATGCGAGGCGCCGATCTGCTTTCTTTTTTTCTTTTTTTTTTTTTTTTACTTTTCTCAAAAATCGTTCAAAAAGGGAAACTGCGGCTGAGCAGAGGCAAAATAAACAAAAAGCAGAGAAAAATAAGAATCGAAATAAGAAAAGAAAAATATTCGCACGAATAGGGGATTTGATGCAGTCACGTGGTGTCTTTCTTTCTGTCGAACTTTCGTCATTAAAGAACAATTGCTAGCATTATTTGGAACCATTTGGAATAAAACGAAGCAACTGTGGTTATCATATATTTGGATTAAAGTAAAACCAAAGTTTTTATTATTTGTACAAATAAATGGAAAATTGTTCTTTATTGCGATTTTCGTACAAAGTCAGAAAAACATCTCGTGCTCGAGAAAGAAACTAAATGGGGTAACGGAAGCGAGTGCTATGGACGCGTTTTTCTCGTCTAATAAATAAAAAATTAAGTACATTGTTTAGTGATCGAGGTTGTGCAATCAAGTATCAATTCGATGAACACGGGTCGATAGCACTCGATAAGATTGAATTGAATCTACGTAGAAAAAGAAAAAAAAAGAATAAGACTAACTCATTTAGCATTGGAAATGAGAGAAGGTAACTGAAACGAAATGCCAGTGCGTCAGCGGTTAATTAAACTTGCATAATCGCGATTTTCGTTACTTCCATTTTCGTTATCTCGATCTTCGTTCGTCGTTGTCGACGTGCTCGATGGTGTATAACTCATATATATATAAAATTCAACATTGTACAATGTATCCTTTTCGATCGATTGCCTTATTAAGCACAGCGAAACGAAAGCTGTACGATCGTACGATGCATTTAATTATATTTAGACCTGGCTCAAAGTGCGCGACAACGATGAACGGAGTCGATCGACCCAGCAGTTAGCAAACAACGAGATCGAAGGAGCAATCGATTTCGCGGGGTCATGTGCAGAGAATTGACGAAATTCTCAAGACATGGAATGCCAAGAAGCTATTTTAAAGAGAGAGTTAATGTGCCGTCTGTTAAGTTAACGATAACTTGTAAAGTTACTTGGAACGAATAGCCCTACTCATCAGTCGTTATACGGAAATTTTTTTTTCTCTTCTTTTTCCTTTTTTTTTTTTCAAGTTCAAGTAAGTTCATTCTCGAACGGACGTAGAAAAGATTGCCCGGCGTGTACAAATACTTTGGAAGAATCGTATACACGATTTGATATTTAATATATCGATATCGGTAATCGTAATCGGTTCTTTGTTTTTTACCTACCCCTTGTTCGTCTTAAATTACGGATAGGATCGTGAACAACCTACCTTGCTCCTTCGAGTCTGATGATGTTCCCTACTGTCCTCAATAATCCTGGATGCGCGTTTCGAACCGCGAGCATGGAGCCGTCCGCTGATGCCAGCAGGAGAGGACGACTTTCTCCAGCAATCTACAAAAAATCGTACGCACGTTATCGTACCTCTTCAACGATAGGACAAACACATTTACATTCGGAATACTTCCAAAATTCGACGACTGCCTGTCTGTAAGAATAGACTCAATCGAGAAAAGGTCGAATTTGAAATACGTATGTATGTATTTACCTGCATTCTGACTTTGGCGGTGTCCAAAGGAAACGTTGCTAAATCAGCGATGCAGGCTGCCGTGCCTGCAGAAAGTAATTTCATCCATATGGGGAACTCGTCCGACGAAGCTTGTTGCTTCATCTTGTGCTCGTTCTTCTTCCTCTCGTTCTCTGTCTCTCCACCGATGTTCCTCTCTTTTCTTTTCTCGCAGCTATTTAGCCTGATCGGTGCTTTTTCTAGGTTGATGCATGCGTCGGATTTGAATGGGATTTGAATAGTAAAAACTTCGACTCGTTGAAATCGCCGCGTGTTCTCTGTGTTCGATTCTTCGAGCTTGCTCGGCTTATCTGAGCGAGATCCTCTGTTAGAAAAGCGGTATGTACACTATATACAAAGTCCTACCAGAGGACAGGAACCTTTAAATGATCATTTAGCAGACGGCTGTGGTTTAAAGACAGAGCTTTTTAGGTTCCCTGAAATGATCAGGATACGCGTGCAGTCCCCCTGACCGCGAGCACTCGTGTTTTATGTCTTGATTGTGAAGTACTTTATACATACTATTCTTCTGCAACAGAGATTAAAGAGAAAATGACCATTAAATTCGACGTTCACAAAAACACGATCATCGATCTAAATCGTCTTGACGATCAATCGACGTTCGACTTATCTACGAAAATAATCAAAGTTTAACGACTGACAAACTGGTCGAGCAACGTATTACGATCGATCGTAAGATAGAGACCGACGTATCGAAGAAAATACACACAGTTCGCTGTTATCGGAACATAAACACAGCAGATTATCGCGGAACACTGTAAAGACGCGCGTGCCACGATATTGTAATCGGAACGACTGATTACTTTGTCCGTAAACGAAGCTTATCGCGTTGTCCACGTCATAATTGTTCGGAGGACGTCAACTCTTTTTTTACTTTTTTATGCCTCGACTTTATGCAATGACACAACGCTAATTCGCACTCGGTGACACTGTTCTCACGTGTGAATAATCGAAATGTGACTTCGAGCGAGTAACGCGAAAATAGATCGCTAGTTAGAGCACTATTGGAAGAGGGCCAGCGCGAGAACGTGTCTCACGAATCTTCCGTTTCATTCAGAATAAAAATATGATACATCAAGAATAAGCGGTATTTTGTTTTGTCATTTTGTCGTTTTCCTCGAATTCTATTTGAGCGTGGTTTTCAATGTTAAAACTAGTTATATATGAAGGAATCCCGGCTTGAGATCCCAATTTGTAGGAATTTTGATAAAAGAATGGTTGTTTATTGTAGATTAAATAAAGGAAATTTTCACTATTTTCTTAATTGCTAAACTCGCAACTCTCAATTCACTCTCTTCTCTCTCTCGCGCAACTCTCAACTCACTGTCTTCTCTCTTTCATTCGCTCATTCTGTTCTCTCTGACACTCACTCTGTTCTCTTTGACTTCTCGACACTCACTGCCCTTTTTTCCTCATCTGTACAAAATTCGTCATTCACACACACACATACACACATACACACAAACGCATCCATACCCTTGGTATCTTAAACGCTAGGCCTGAAGGGCTAGCCCTAAAGCTCGTAATCTCAAGTCCCAGGCCTAACTTTCTCTACTATTTATGCTACACCACTTGGGACATCTACAGTCGTCGGGAGAGAGTTCTGGGCCCTTTCCCAGAATTTGCCCATCCCAAATATGTTTGTAACACACTATTGCGGCCATTATGAGGCTATTTTTGCTTGTGAAATGTTGCTGCAGATAAGTAACGTTCTTATACAATTGTAACGATAGTTTTTTGTTTCGCCGATTTTTTGCGCACAGACGAAGTAAAAACTTACGCGCCAGTAAAACGAAAATAGTATTGTTGACTAAGACGGCTGGGGTAAAGTCCGAAACGTAAGTTAAGTCAGGTTCCGTTTGCTCTTTGTTAGTCACTAGTATTATTCCGTTTCTGTCTCTATTTATCTAATCAACGTTTCACATAGTTGACAATTTTTGAACTTTAAACCATCGAAAAAAAGGTCTGGATCGAATCTAAATTTTATCAGAGATGAACTTTACACGAGGAAAATGACGGTTTGATGTTGAAACAATTTCAACGCTTTTTACAATTTAAACTTCAAAATCGTAAACGTTGTCATAACCTTCTGATTTGATTTGATTTCTATTAGAAACGCTTTCCACACACTATTCAACGATTTCTCCATTGCGAATGCGTGGTATCGGTACGCTCCATTGTGTCGAAAGACTATGGAAGAAAGCGCTTGCAAACAATACGATCGATAATAAACTTCGGCCATGCGCCTGCACCCATTGCTGCACCCATTGCTGCATCCATATTTTTCACATACCGTATCATACTTATATGAATATATATATATATATAAATTCTCAAATAACACGTCTAGACAATTATTTTAATTATGAATCACATTTAAATTTAATCCTGCTATAAATTTTGGACTTTTTTTCTGTTCGATGGCAGTGTTCGGCCTTACCGAACACAAAGGAGGCGGGAAGGACAAACTCATCGAGCCAGGGAAAGCAATTTTACAATTTCTAATTTCTCGACGGCAGGGATCTCCCGTGACCATGCTTCTATTGTAGTCACACCGGACTACCAATTCCAAGATTCGTCATGCTCGACACTCAATTTTAAGGCTCGATGAAGGACTTTATCGCAAGTTTTGTTACGACAGCCATAAATACAAACTCAGAAATCCATATTGCGAGGGACAGACACATCCTGGGACCGTTAGGATGTGCAGATACTACGTTCTCACATCTGGAAGCAACTAACATACCTCCCTAAACCATAGAATCCAGCTAGGCAGTCGTATTTTTTTAGAAACTTAACATTTCCCATGTTAAATCATGTTTTTAAGAATTTCGATACATGTTCATTGGGAAATGTAAAATTATGAAGTAATCGTAAAAAAATATGAAGTAAGGTTAAAACATTGAATAGTTTTAATTTGTGAAATCCAACAATTAAACGTTTTTCGCGTAGGTTTTAAAAAGATTGCAGCTCGTGAAAGAAGAATGCAAATAGGATCTATCTTGGGTATGTTATCTCTTGCTTTCTAACGATCTCGAGCCTTGAAGAGGCGGCGTTCTGAGATATCCTTGCGTACAAGGGAATACAGCTACTGAAAAGGTCTGGGTATATTGATTATCCTCGATACGAATGTAGTAGAGGCATAGCAATCGTTGGTAAACAATTGAGTCAATCCAGTCACTGTACTTTTTCAATGTTACGAAATCAATACAAACGACAAAAGCGTTCGAAAGGAATATAGTTTATACCCTCAATATCATAATATCTTGTTGACAATAATTTCACAGGGCAAATGTGAATAACAAATTGTGAAATATTACTTAATTGTGACCATTTTAATTTTCAGTTATATTATATTAATGCAACTTCCTTTCATGAAAAATATCTTAAAAAGGTATAAATTACAATTGACACGTTTGCATTTTTATGTTTCAAAGTCGTAAGAGAAAACCCGGAGGATCGTTAATTATATACTTTTTCAAAGTTACACAAATAAATATAAGGAAAATCAATAGATAGCGAAATGTTTTAACTGTTCTAGGAAAAATGACCCAAATAACTGTAATTAGCTGTTACACACTTTCACGTTCGAATGTTGTAGAATTCGTTGACGATTGTATAGTTTCTGTTTCGCGAGCTATTTGTGAATAGCGAATTTTCGTGGAAATCCATTAATTTGTACCAGGTGGTCGCGTGGGTGTTTGATAAATCGATGTTGCCGACCTTTCACTATTCGCGCATATGCATTGCAGTTGCAAGAAAAATGAATCGGCCATGTCCGTTTTGTCAATTTTACTCAAATTTTTATTCGTTGTTAACATCGAAACGAATAAAACTCAAAACGTATAAAATTCAAAACGCTCAAATTTATTATCCCTCAAATTTAAACGTAAGGATTATCTAGTGTTCAATGGTTGCAATTGGTTTAACAAAAGTAAGCGTTTTCGACGAGTTTGCGTCAAAGCGAATATCGATCTCGTGATTACTGTATAGAATATTTACAAATGACAAAACCTTTCAGTACGTTATTATACGTAATTATCTTACTGACGCGAATAATTTGAATTTTATGATCTGCATAATACTAACATGACGAAGATAGCATCAAATATGAATATTAAATATTTACGATGAAAATTAGAATGACAATAGGTCATATCACCTGATATACGAACATTTGATAATTTCAAAAGATTCACGAAAATTCTCAGGGATATTTGAGAAAAATAGGCAAATATGTAGTTTAGCGACTTTTTCCAATTTTGCTATTTCACTACAGCTTAGTAATAAAATAAAGCTTTCACGAAAAAAAAAAAAAAAAGAAAACTATGGTGAAATAGCTGGAAATTGGAAAAATTTGCTATATATAATTACCAAAATATATAACTAATAGCCCGAAAAAATAAATATCGTTTGAATAATAGAAAACAATGGTATTTCGAACAGAATGTACTTACCAAGTGTACAGTGAGTGGATAACAACACAACTGGAACAGGTTACCGTGAAAGCATCGTTTATACCGGCTCGTCGACCAATAGGGATCGTCCACAGTTGAATTCTGCGTATCAGCTGTCGTCTGCGACGTCAGATTTGACCAAAGGAAGCTCAGCTTGCGACCTGATCGATAAGTTCCAGGAACGTACTTGTATAACTTGCTCCCAGTTGCACACAGATATACAATATATATGCATCGGTTTAGAGCAGACGCATTACGGTCGGCACCTTTTCAATGAAGAAGGGTTACGTGTCGCGATATCATGCAAGCCTGCACCATTGGAAATTACCACAGCTCATCATAGAGATTTATTTTGCCGCATACGCTGCAATTTTTTTCATCAATTAGCAATGCAGCTAACTATATTCGATTCGACGACAAATAACAATGGAAGAGCATCCTCCAAGAGCATATTCTCGAATAATGATCGACATGTTACGTCGCATGAATTTTCTAGATGGAAAATTTATAACAATTCACTTATCGATTTTACTTTTGTTGTAAACGTCGTAATAAATTTTTTTTTTTTTTAATGGGTTTCGTGGGTCTGAGATAAGAATTAGACAAATGTTTGATAGCTTTTGATCAATATTGTTGACCTTTCCCGAATACGTGTAGATTTGATATAAATATTGACATCAAGATTATGGTCGTCTTATCAGTCTAATAAGGATGATATAATAGTTTAATCGCTTTTAAGTGTGTTTTTAATGTGGCTGATAACTATTGCTTAATGAAGTGGATAATAAATTCATGTAAAGTTCAATACTGACAATGCATTCGTTAAATAGTTCTGTTAAAAAAAATGATAAAAAAGACGAAGCAATAATATCAATTTTTTTGTATAAAATATATAGAAAAAAAACTTGGCTCATGGGGGGATCGAACCCGCGACCTTCGCGTTATTAGCACGACGCTCTAACCAACTGAGCTAATGAGCCAGTTGAAGGATTGTGTTAATTTTGCAGTTTTTTGTGTAAATCACTTCAAAAATCAAATACTTTTAAATATAAAATAATTATATAAATTAATAATTACAAGTTACCTTTTACTTATATTAATTTTTCTCTAAGAAATAAATAATTATATTTCAATTACTGTTAAGTATAAATATATTTGCTATGGAATAATTCTTTTAAGTAACTTTGATAAACGCTGTTTGATCAAGCATGATTATTTACAAATCAGTACATCAGGCACAATTGATCGACGAAGTATGTAGGTCGTTTTATTTGTAAAGATATCAAACTGTCTGAACTTTGTCTTGTAGTTAAATTCTGCTCATAAATAGAGTCAGAGTTAATATTAAGCTGGGTTTACACTATATAACAGAATACATGTTACATGATATATTTTACATGCAAAATGTTGATATTATGACTAATAATTATAATAAATATAATGATATAATGACTAAATAATTATAATAAATTATATTAAATTATATGATTATATT